AAAAAAAAAAAAAAAAAAAAGAAAAAAAAAAGGAGAATCGAAGGTTGCTGGTGGTATATCTTCTGCTTCTTATGGACAACATGGTAAATATAATGTTCAAAAGTGAAGCAAGATACAGCCATTCTGTTTTTTTTGAAAGCTTTGCTTAGTTTTTTGCTCAATACTAGTATATGAAGTTCAAGATTCCTAGCTTTGTGCGCAGAAAATAATCCCTGTCTCAAAGAAAAGGCACTCAGATTAGCATCCCAAAATCAGTTTTGCTTTTATAGATATCACATGAACTTTCTTGTTGTAGATTATTCTAGAAAAAGTAATTTTTATCTTTGGAACAAAAAAAAAGCGGAATTTGACAGTCATTGCTCATAGTGAAAAATTGTTTAGTGTTATGGACGGAAATTTGTCAATATAAAGGTCTGAAAGCAGAATCGATTTAGGTTCCTTCAAACCAAAACCACTGGCATTTTTGGCTATTCAGTCGACGATAAAAGTGATAAATCAACCAGGTGTCGGGTTTCAGACAATAAGTTGCAACTTTTAAAGTATATAGTTTGTGCAGCTTGGCAACTAATCTTATCGCTAGGTTTCTAGATTGTAAATAAATAATATTCAACGTCAGAAATACTTTACAGTGTTTACACAGCCGGCTTAGATGAAGCCAAATACCACTTGTTCACATTCGAAATATCTGATACGTCCAAATGTAAAAATTAGTGGCACTTCAAAGAAAAGCAAATTTTAAAATATCGCAGAAGATAAGTCCAACACCTTGCTGTACTTCAAAGAAGAGATGTACAGTGGCATAATTACCTTCCAGTAAAAGAAAAAAATATGTTATTTTTTCTTTTTTTTTTTTTCTCTTAATTTATTGTAAAAACATAAAATAAAGTGAAATATTGAAGTTACCACTCAGTGCAACTGATATGTAATAACAATCAAAACTGAACTTATAATCTGTCTAAAGTTGATTTATCTTTCTCGCTGTCAGTGCACAAAGGGTAAGCTAACCAAGCAAATAATTTTCATATCTTACATTCCCTTCTGGGAGCCGTTTATACTATTGTAAGAGCTGGAAAACGTATTGAACGTAGATTCAGGACCAAGTGTTAAATTCATTCTTTTAGATTTTTTACCACCTATTTTTCAGAGCAGGAAAAGATTTGTATTTTGAAAAATAATAAAGAGAAAAGCTTTCTTTTTTTCACGCCTGATCAGCGGATAAATCGTTTTTTTACTCGACACAAATATACGAGTTCTGGCTCGAAATGCATCACGTTTACGGTCGGCAGCAGTCTCAGTGGTATTATACCGCGAAAAAAAAAAGGGAGGCAACTAGAAAGCGGTGGAAAAATAAGTTGCATTGAAAAAAACTGTACCTGCTCAATGTAAAAGTTTTGAATGGTAGATAAGTATAAGTGAACATTCAGAATACTGCATTAATCAAGTAACAAACAAATACTTAGATTAAAGCCTCCGAAATGTAGGTTCAAAGGGAAAACTCAAAGCTGATGTCAAACGCTGTAAGAAATATGAATTGCTGGCACAATGCCAAATTATAAATGCTTCCGGCACTGCAACGATGAAAACTTATGCATCCATATGTATACATCCATATATATGTATATATATGTACGTATAAATATGTTGATCCATAATATGATGTACTTGTTAGAGAAGCCGTACCCGTTTACTGCAATAGTTGT